AGGTGGTCGTGGGCGAATTCACAACAACTGAATAGTAGCCCAAGCTGAAGTAAATGTCAAGAGCAATCACTCGCTGGCGAAGTCTCCAGCACAAAATTAATGAGGGAAAAAATTTCAAAAATTTAACTTACTCCGCGCTTTGCTGTGCAGCAAACCAAAATGAAAATTCATCATGCGAGCATTGCAGGATGATTTGTTGTCCCTGGTGAACTGGAACGCTCTCAGGAAGATAGTAAACAGCTTGCATCCAATGATCTCGCCAATGCGCTTCCTCTTCCAACCATTTTGGTGCTGTAGTTAGCATACAGCGACCTCAAAATAAATCAATAAATTAACTTTCGATAAATTTTTGGTTTTTTTGATCAATCTTTGATTATTTGTGGCGCCACTTGGAAAAGCTCATAATTCATAGTTTCGCTCTTCAGCTGTGCAGCTGGCAATTTTTCCAATTGCTTTGACCAATGTTTCATCGCCTGGTGATCAATCTGTTAGTGATTTTGACGTTTGTTTTTGTTGCCTGAAGGAATTACCATCTCAACGATTCTGTTGGCAAAAGGCTTAAAAATTTTACATCTTAAAGTTCAGAAATTTTCGAGGTTTAAAAATTATGATAAGGCTTAAAAATCTTCCAGATCCTTTCATGGTTTTTCACTATATCTCAGGATATATCTCAGGATTTTTATTCGAATCGTGAAGTGTTAACAATTACGCTACTGGCTTCCTGCGCTGTAAAAAAATTTTAATCAGAAAAGCCAAATACATATAAATATCATATTTTCTAACAGTGCTGTCGTCCATAAGCTGTGTAAATTTTCCTAATTTTTATCGGCTTTTTGCGTTTTTTCATAGAATTTTGATGCTTACAAGTCCGATTTCATTTTTTTTTTTAATTTACTTAGATAATTAATAAGATGAAAATAAAGGTCGAAAAAAGCCCAGCCAAAATTGGTAATGCCAAGCAGGGTTGGCAAGAAGGTCGTAGCTGTAAAGTGGTGTTATGCAGTCGTAAGTTGGCCAAACCTTACTGTGTGAAGTAGTGGACCGTGCCAACTGAAGGAAATCAAGCATTCTGAATTTATTTTAATTTTAATTTTAGTTGGTATATGTTTATGAAAGATTGTAAAGAAATAAAAAAGGGGAATTTGAATAAAATAAGATTAAAATCTGAATGGGAATGTTTCGGTCCATTGCTGAATGACTTGCAATTTAAGACAGAAGGGATGGAATTTAGTTTAATATTTAACGAAACTGAGTTTAATACTTAACCATAAAATAGGTAAAAGTGTGATTAATTAATTAAATATTTTAGAGGCATAAATAAAAACTTCGGGGGGCAATTTGAAAACAACAACGCACCAGTGCCGTCCATATCAAGATCCCACCACATTATCAGTGCTTCAAATGTACCGGATGATTGCGCTTCGAATGTTTTGAATGCTGTTTCATAATAAGTGATTGACGGACCATCTTCGAAATCAAAACTGCAAAAAATTGGTAGAAAAAAAATCCACAAAAACCTGGGCCTTTTTCCAATATTTCTTATTTTAATGTTTTTTTTTTGAAAAAAGAACCTAGCAAATACTCTCGCACAAACAGTGCAAATGAAAGGAGGCAGAAGAGAACTGTTTGCTTCTATCATGGCGTTAAAAAATGTTGTAATCGATCAAGCAAGTAAAAAAAATGCAAAAGATCGAGCCAACCGAATGGATAGACACAACGAATAGCCTTTACCAAAATTGCCAAATTTATCAAAATTCTTAGACTTATTCCACTCGTCTTAAAGAATTTTATACCCTTCTAAAACTGAAACCAAACTGACAGTTCGCAATCTAATTTTCAACCTATGCAGCTGGCAACTTTTTCATTTATTTTGGCCGAGGCCGAAGTATTGCCAAGTGGTCAGCTTGCTGGCGATTCTGACGACAGTTCTGTTCTTTGAAGGGGTCATTATCTTAATAATTTTCCCAAAAAAGGCAAAAATTTCATCGCTTCAAGATTTTTTAGTGTCACATGTCGTCACGGACGCTACCAGTGCCATTCTTACGTCTTGATGAGGTATGCTATAAACTTTTAGTTCGCAGCCTAATTTTCTAACTATGCAATGACAAATTTTCCACTTATTTCGGCCGAGGTATTGCCAAGTGATCAGCCTGCTGGCGATACTGACACTGGTTTCGTCCCCTGAAAGGGGTAATTATCCTGAAAATTCCTCCCAACGAGATAAAAATCCCATTGTTTCAAGTTTTTTTTAGTGCGCATCGAGTATCAAAGATCATCCCCAGCGCTACTACTGCCATTCGCACGCCTTTATAAGGTACCTTTATAGATTTTTTTTGAAAATTTTTTGATCAGTATAAATACCTGAACGCTATAAAAGGCTCAGCAAGCAGGCGAATTTTTTCCGGTGGTATTTCAGAAAGTTGGATATCTTGAACTGCTGCTGCGCCAGGACAATTCAGGCAAGTTGCTGCAGCTTTGAGATCACTGGTAGAAGGTGGTCGATGAAAACGCATGAGAAAATCGCTCTGCACTGGTGCCACCCATATTCGAGCTGCTGATGGTATCACTCGACAGCCAGGCTTAAAAAAAAATAACATTTGACGATTATCTCAAAATCTGGATGAATTTTTTTATCAAAAATCTTATTTTTCTGCTAAAACCTATTTTTTTGCTTTTTAATATTACAAAACTGAATAAATTAGAAAAAAAACATGAAAAATTTGCGTATCATTTTGGATTTTCCAAAATTTCAAAAATTTTTTTGCACTTTTCAGCGCTCCTGAAATTTTCGGGACTTAAAATAAGTGGCCAAAAAAAGCAAAAAAGGGAGAACTGATCATAAAAAAGATGCAAAAACTCCGAAATATATGAAAAATGAAATTTCTACAAAACAGATTGCGCAAATGCAGGTGTTTTTGAGTAGATAGCTCTTCACAAAAAAAAAAAAATCAAAACCTTTGCCAATGTTTGATGTGCTTCCTTGAATGTACGCAGAGCACCCTCACCAATCAATTCGGTATCAAATACTTCAGCCACAATTACATTTCCTTTATCTTCATCAGATACTGTAAAAAAAAGTCACATATCCATTTCATCCAAAATCACAGTTATCATTGAAGTTTTATCCTCCCCCCCCCCCCCCCCCCCCCCCCCCCCCCCCCCCCCC